TCAACCGATTCGACCCAGCTGGCCTTTACTGACAACTCTGCCCAGCAACAGAAGAACCATGTTCTTTTCAAGGACAACAGAACACTGACTGAGACAGACCGTATTCTGGGCCATGACACGAGTCTCAATCAATGTAAAAGGTCTCATGTCAGACAGTGTGTTCTCTGCCCACAATGGAAGTAAACTGAAAATCAACATAAAATCAAAATCCCTGGAAAATCCCCCAATACTTGGAAACTAAATAACGCACTTCTGTGTGACCCTGGGTCAAATAAGAAACCAAATAGGAAACTAGTATTTTGAACTGAGTGAAAATGAAGACATATCAAACTTGTGAGATGCCACTAAAGCAGTAAAATTCATAGCACTGAATGCTGTATTACAAAACAAGGAAAGTTTAAAAATCAGTGATGCGCTTCCACATTTGGAAATTTGGAAAAGAAGAGCAAACAGAACCCAAACTAAGCAGAGGAAAGGAACCAATGACGTCAGTGACCCTGAGCACTGGTCACTGGGACCAGCAGCACTGACAAGACCCCGGCTGCCCACAGAGCTGGGCCAGCGGGCTCCATGGGTTCTCTGTTCACCTTCATGCCACAGTCCTGCCTGTCCAGCATGCCTTAGAGCAGGGGCCCACGGCACATGTGCCCAAAGCCCTGGGTCTAACTACTGTCCCCTCTGGGGCCTCAGAGCCAAAGCACCGAGCCTGGAGCGGCAGCTTGGCTGTGCCTGTTTCCGAACCATCCTGTATTCATTCTTGTCTCTTCTTGAATGGTCTTGGCCTCCCAACCCCTTGTTTTCAAGCATCTCCAAAGCAAAGTTGTTAATCCCGAAAATAAAACAAATATTTACAACTCAGTAATCACAAAAAAACATCCCATAAATATCTGCGGAGCTCCGTCCCACACCTGGGACTGTGCCATGAGCCCTGTCCTTGGGTGGGACGCCAGGTGGATGCTCTTTCTGCACAGGGGTGGCTTTGGCTGGTCTGCCACTCTGCTTGTGCCCACTCAAGGCCCCCCAGCCCTGCCTGGTCTCTGCAATCGGACCCCCAACAGCCAGTTCCCCCAGGAGACGGAGCCCCACCCCTGCTGGACACAGGCAATCGGCCCGGTGGCCACCCCTCAACACTCAGCTCTGCCAGACAGGAGGCCCAGAAGGAGCAGGACGGACCTCTCACCTCAGACGCCAGCTCAGGAGGCCAGGTTACCTGCACCCCAAGCAGGGCAGAGCCAGTCACCACTCCACAGATAAAGAGGTGGCTGGGGGCGCAGCACTGAGCTGCCCCAGTCAGGGTTGGGGAAGGCCCAAGCCCCCCAGGATATGAAGAAAAGAGTAGGAGGACATGAGAAGAGAAATTGGGGTTCAAGCCCCAGACCCTCACCCCTCCAGAAAGTGAGGCTGTTTTTCAGTTTGCTGGCGTGTCCAGGGAGGGAGGGAGGCGGGAGGGCTGAGCTGTGGCTGGGCTGCACACAGCCTTCAGTGCCAGGCTCCCGGGGCCTCGTGGCCGAGCAAGGGGTGTGGCGAGGGGCACGCAGAGCAGCTTCTTGAGCATGGGTGGTGAGGTGAGCACTGGGCAGATGTCCCTCAGACCTGGATGAGGTTCCACATCCCTGGATGCCCAGGGCCCACAGAGCTGCCCGTCCCCTGGATCTGTTACACTCCCCACTTCTCTCTGGCCTCACCACAGTGACCACCGTGTATGTGGTGAGCTGGCTGCAGGACTGCTGCCCACCAGCCACCCAAAGCCATGGCCCCCTGGCCTTGCAGACGTCTGACCCAGCTGGGCATCACAGCCCAGGAATCCGCGTTTAAGGGGACGACTGCCTGGCAAGTGAGAATTTGTGGTAGTGCTTCCCACTGCTGGAAGGACTGAGTGACTGTCCAAGGAGCCTTGGGCAGGGGCCAGAACCCTGGGGTTCTGAGAGGGACCGGAGAAAGGCCTCCAGAGAAATGGGGAGCAGTAGAGGGGCAAGGCATGTGCTCGGAAAGCCCCAGGCCCTGACCCTGTGCCCAGGCCCCACGTGCACATCCTACCACATCTGTTCATCAGCTCAGCCAGTGCCACACCATGGATCAGGGCAATGAGAAAGACAGAGAGAGAGATTATCAGACAGTTAGACACACAGACAGGTGCACAGAAGCAGCTTCTGGGGCTGGCAAACCAGGAGGGAGTCCCACTCCACCCCTCTGAGCAGCCAGCATCCATCCTCAGGGGACCAAGCCCCTGCCCCAGCCCTGGGGTCCTGAGGCCTGGGCCCAGGGCATTTAAGTCCAGGAGGCACCCAGCTGGTCTCGGAGTGGACAGCAGCAGATGTGCCAGGCCCTCACAAAGACACAGACCACCCGCCACCTGCCCTCTGTCACCGGAGTGGGTCAGCCAGCACCCTGGGCTTGGTTTAGCAGAGTGGAGGCACCTGAAGCACATCCCACCTAAGGGGCTGTGGAGATGGGGCTGGGCAGGCAGAGTGAGGGAGGCCGGGAGGGAGCCTCCAGGACACGCCACGGAGGCCTGGGCTCCCAGGAGGGCTGGTGCCAGAGCAAAGGTCCCAGTGTGCCACAGGCCCTTGCTCCCTCCTACCTCTGACTTGTGGCTAAGCCATAGGGGAGAAGCTGGGAGGAGAGCTGAGCTCCAGAGACAGCGCCAGGTCCACCTCCCCATCGGGCAGTGTATGGAGGAAACAGCACTGACTTCAGAGGCACACAGGGCGGGCCCATTCTGCCTGACCCCCGCCGAGTCACCTGTGTCTCTGAGCCTCAATTCCCTCTCCCACAAAGAGGGGGTGAGGACAGGTGCCTCGGAGGGTGGGTCGGCTTCCTGTTGCAGCTGTAGCAAGTTGCTACGACTGAGTGACTGAAATAGCAGAGGTTTATGTCACACAGTTCTGGCGGTCAGAAGTCCAAGGGGCCTCCCTGGGCTAAAGTCAAGGTTGTCAGCTGCTGGTTTCTGCTGGAGGCTCCAGGGGAAACCCAGTTCCTCGCTCCCAGAGGCTGCCCACAAAAGCCAGCACTGGAGGCTGAGTCCTTCTCTCACTCTTCTTTCCGACTCTCCCTCCTCTTCAAGGACCCTCTGATTCGATTGGGTCCACCTGGAAAGCCAGGATGACTTCCCCATCTTGAGGCCACCTGATTAACAGGCCTAATCCTGCCTTTGCCATAGACCCTGACATCTTCCCAGGGCCTGGGGATTAGGCTGTGGACGTCCTGGGGTTCATTCTGTACTGGACATACTTATATGCACATGCCTCTCTGGATAGGGGGTCGCTCAATACAGACGGGCTTCTCCTCTGATTACCCCCTTCAGGAAGTTTGGTAAAGAGTAAGTATGAAAGTAAACTGGCAGAAAAATGAGAAGGTGAGCAGGAGAAGGAAAGAAGGGAGGAGATGCCATGAAGGGACGGGGGCCACAGGATGAACCTGCATCTGAGCCTCTCGCGTCTCACAGGCCTCGTCTGATGAGAGCAGCTCCTCTCCTGAGTGATGCCAAAGCATCCCCAGGTGGACCTCATGTCTCAGCTGGAGGACCTCATGTCCCACCTGGAGCCCACCCACGGCCCACCTGCCCTGCTTTATCATACCTGCCAGCTGCTGGAGCTCTTGTTAACTGGTCCCTCTCTGTCCAGAGTTATGGGTAAAGTGCCTCTTGTGTTTGGACAATTTTCCAGTAAGTTGAGAAGGAAAATGTCAAAGACTCCAACATGAATAAATGCCTTTGGGGAGGGGAGCAGCCCTGGCCTTTCAGGATGAATGGGAGGCTGTCTGGGGCCGAAGCTGACAGCAATGATGTAAGAGGATGAGGCATAAATTGGTGGTTTCCAGCTCGGCTTTTCCTTGGAGATTGCACTGTCTGGGAAGTGCAGTCTTTGGAGGAGGCCGGGAGCTGGTGGTCCTGCCCTGGAGTGAGACCCTGGGAGTCAGCTGCCCGCACGAGACAGGCCAGCAATAGTGCCATTGTGCGCAAACTGCTGGTCCCCACTGGCTGCTAGGCAGCAGGGAAAGTCTGCTCAGTTTTTTCCCATCAAAGACTGGACATGTGTCATCAATATCCAAAAGGGGAAAATTACTTTCTTCAGTAACGTGGTGTCACCTTCAATCCCACGTCACCATCTGGCACAGGCTTTACATGACCTCAGCTCTGCAGCATCAAACGCTCCCCTCCACTAAGTTTTAAGAGGAGGGAGAATATTTCTGTTTTGATCCTGTCCAGTTCCAGACTTGGCTGTATAAATCCTACAAAACAAAATCCATTCTCAAAACTCATCCTGTTACACTGACTCCACTGAGGCAGCCCCTGGCACTCATTTCTGAAAGCTGAGAATGTGTTCACTCCCTACGAAGTCAGCACAAAAGGGAGGCCCTGAGACACAGGAAAGAAGAGTGTCCGGCCTTAGCTGGACCTTCTGCCCCTTGCAGCTCAGAACAAGCAGCAGGTCACTGTGGGAAACAATGCCACTCAAGCTGGGGACAGTATCTACCGAAGTGTTGGGTGAGCAGAGCAGTCTTTGGGGTTTTGCCATCATTTCAGGGGCACACCTGGGACGGGGGTGGGGGCATTGGCCTCAGCACCTACCAGCCTCTAGAAGGGCCTGTTGCCAGAGGTTGTGCCTGGTCCCCTGTCCACACAACTCACCTGGCTGGCCTGCTCCTGGGCCACTGGGAAGCCAAGTGCCCGCAGGCATCTTCCTCCCTGCTGGTGGTGAAAGACAGAGTCCAGGCTCCCATCACATGTGGGATGTGAGTTTCTGCGCCCAAAGCCACTGTGTTGACAGAAGTGGGTCCCTTCTCACCCACTACTCCTTGCCTTACCTCCCACTTCAGAGCCTCTGCTGGCCAGGCCCAAGTCGGGGCTGGAGATACCACTGTGCTGGAGACCTGTTTGTGCTGAACGTTGGGGTCTGAGTTTTCAAGTCCAATCCTGGGGGCTCCACACCCCCGCCCCTCCCCCATCCTCCTTCCCTCCTCTGCCCCTCTGCTGGAGCTGGTGCCAGGCAGGGGCCTGGTCAGTGCTGGCCTAGCCTTGCCCTACTGGGAGGGACAAACACCCACTGCTGACACACGCAGGGAAGGGCAAGACTGTCCTGAAGGTCAGCATCCTCGCCTGACCCTGTGACCCCCTCCTTCCCCCAGGCCAGCCAGCCTGCAGTGCAGGCTTCCACTTCATCCACCCCGATGCCACCTTCCGAGCGTCCTGAGTGGACATGGCGCAGGCTGGGGCAGCTGGCTGTCATCTTTGTTAAAATTCTTCTCCGAACACTCCCGAGAGTGGCCTGCTGAAGATAAACTACTGGGAGAGAGGCCTTCAAAGGGCGTACTTTAATGATGCAATTATCTTCCGTCAACTCAGAACATCTTTATTACATTAGAAAGGGGCAATCCATCTTGGAATACAGAAAGAGCTGATCCTGCCACAGACACCAGGCCTGGCCCTGGAGCGGCCTGAGGGCCCCTTTTAGACATGTTTCTAAATTTGCATGGAGAAAAAAAGCTTTCTAATTGAATTTCTCTGGCTGAGCTGGACAGTTAAACTGTTCCCAAAAGCTGGATTTCATTAAAGCAAATTTGTTTTTTCAAAAATAAACATATATCGATTTAAGTTGCTATTTCTGTGGTCTAGGATATTAATCGGACATAGAGTCGTTACCCGCAAACCGGTCTCAGGACTCATTCTAATGCTCAGCGCGGTTCTTGCCTTCAGGGAGAGCCGGCACAGCGGCGCCTCGTCTGCAGCTCCCAAGAAGGTTTTTAAACCAGAGATTGGTCCAACCAAGGACGGTCTCTGTCGGGCCTGGCTCCTCCTCCTGCGAGCCCAGGGTGGGGCCCTGTCTCCGCCTCGGTCCGCGGGTGCCTACCGGGAGCGGCCCCTCCGGGCTGGGGTCGGTGGGAAGCCCGCGCCGCCCAACGCCCCTCTCAGCGGGGCTCGTCCCAGGTCCCAGGTCGGAAGTTCCAGGTTCCGGGAGGATTCGGCCGAACAAGTGCGGAGCGGGAGAGGCTCTCGGTGAACCGCACACCCAGAGGCGGACTCCGCGCTCCCGGCCAGGAACGGGCCCGCCTGTGTCCCAAGCCCCGCGTCGGGGGCGGGAAAGAGGGCGGCCGCCGCTCCCTTCCCCACCGCCCCGGCTCGCGCCCAGGGACCTCCGACGTGCTCCCGGCTGCGCCTAGGGCCGCGCCGTGTGACGCCCGGGCAGTGCGAGGGGCTGCCCCTGCCCGGGAGGGCGCTCGGCCGCTTCAGGTGCCTGAAAAGCCACCCAGGGCCAAGGGCACCGCAGGCCGACTTCAAGGCGACGAAAGCGGAGTCGTCAGTCGGGACGCAGAATGCGTCACTTGTGGCCCCCAGGGTTCGGAGAGAGTGCCTGAGCCGAGGCAGGCCCGCGCTGAGGGTTCCGGCTCCGGGCTAGGGCGCAGCGGGAAGAGCAGCCGGCAACAGACGGAGGGACGACACTGCGGGGGGCGCTGAGCTCTGGGCGTCGCAGGATCCGCGCGCGGTCAAGGGCCGCTGCTCCGCCTGCGGCTCCGCCAGCCCGCGCCCGCCGTCGGCTCCTCCGGTTGGGGAGGCTGGGGCCAGCTCTGCGCGCTCCCCGGGTGCCCCAGCCGCCTCCTGGGCAGGAGAACGTGGGCTGGGCCTGCAGCTCTCGGGGAGCCAGCGGCGTACCCTAGGAGCCCACTTGCGCGCACCGGGAGAGCTGGGGCCGAGGGTTCACGGGTCCCAGGCGGCCATCCCGCCCCTCCCTGTCCGTCCCGCCCCCTCGGGGCAGTGAGGCCAATGGACGCCTAGGCCCACGTGGCCGCGGCCGCGACGATTGGACAGCGGTGCATGAAAGAAGCACCGCCTTTTTATAGGACACCACGGGCTAGGGCGCCGCCAAGTCCCGGGCAGTCGTGCCGCGCGCTGTCCCCGCTTCGCGCCTGCTGGGCCCCGGCAGCCACGCGCCCGGCCTGCGCATGGCCCCGGCGTCTCTCAGCATGAACCCCGCTAGGCTCAGGACGTGCGGTAGGGTCCTCGCGGGGTCCGGCTCGCTGCCCTTCAGTGTCGACTCGCTGCTGGAGGCAGAGCGCGGCCTGGGCCGGGAGCCCCCGACGCCCCGGGAGGAGAGGCCGCGGGGCGCCGCGGAGCCCAGGGCCTGGTTCCCGCCGGCCGCCCGCTCGTCCTCCCCACGTAAGTGCCCTGTTGCACGGTCGGGGCCGGGAGAGGAGCCCTCCCGGCCCAGGCACGGAGGACCAGGGCGGGAACGGCGCTGTCTCTCATAACTTCAGAAAGTAGCCACTGACGCGCCCGGCCTGAGTGCAGAGAAACCAGCTCCCTCGAGCCCTCCGGCGCACAAGCCCCGCAGCGGCTCCCGCGTCCCACGCCAACCAGGCTTCCGGCCTGCTCCAGGGCTGAGTCCCCAATCCACGACCCCGCGTCTTCTTGCCTCCGAGCCTCTCTGGCCCAGGCACCCCCTGCCCCCGTCCGTCCCCGCGATGGCTAACTTCTGCTTCGCCGAGTCTGCCTCTGTGCTCACCGCGCAGTTCCTGCGGCCGCCTCCCGCCCAGGCTTCTCGCTTCTCCAAGAGGGCAGAGCCCCCTCTCCCTTGGGGTGCGGGGCCACTGATTTGGGGGGCAGAGCCCGAGTCCACAGCGTCCCCTCCCCGCGCAGGCTCCGGGTGCTCTGCCTCTCTCACCCCAGTCGCTTTTGGGTCTCCTCTCCTCTGAGGGCCAAGGTCACGGAGCCGGGACCCGTCTCCGGAACCGGCCTTAGCAGGAATCCGGGAGTGTCGGAAAGGGGCGCGCACCGCCGGCGTCTGAGCGCCTGCTTTGTGCTTCTCTTTCCTCCCAGGCGCCCCCAGCCCTCCACCGTGCACCCTCCGAAAACACAAGAACAACCGCAAGCCGCGGACGCCCTTCACTACGGCGCAGCTGCTGGCGCTGGAGCGCAAGTTCCGCCAGAAGCAGTACCTGTCCATCGCGGAGCGCGCCGAGTTCTCCAGCAGCCTGAGCCTCAGCGAGACGCAGGTCAAGATCTGGTTTCAGAACCGCCGGGCCAAGGCCAAGCGGCTGCAGGAGGCCGAGGTGGAGAAGCTGAAGCTGGCGGCCAAGCCGCTGCTGCCCTCCTTTGCGCTGCCTTTCCCCCTGGGCGCCCACCTGCCCGGCTCCCCTGCCGTGTTCGGCGGCGCGGCGGGCGCCCTGCCGCAGGTGCCAGGACTCCTCGCCGCGCCCGCCGCCTACGGCGTGTATTACCTGTCCTAGGGCGGTCTGGACGCGCGCGGCGAGCCGGGCTGGGGTCGGCTGCGGACGGAGGGCGCAGGGCCTGCGAGGCGGGGCGGGCGAGCTGCGCCGGTCCGGCCGCGTACTCGTCCACGCGGGGATCTGCTGCTCCAGGTGACCTCCCAGCGGTTCCTGTTCTTTTTGTTGTTAATACAGTGTTACAATGGATCCTTCAAGCTTATTTGTATTTTGCAAATTTTTAAAACTTATGTTCGTACCAAAGTTTCCCGAAATAACGTAGTTTCCTACAGCGTCCTCGAAATGGACCAGAGCTTCCTGTTGTGTACAAAACAACGAGTATTTTGCGGTTTATTCCGACGCCTTTTCCTCCTGTACCACGTCGACTCGAGATGGACTGGAGGACCTCGAGCTCTGGCGAGAAACGGATTCCCCAACAAAGAAATGAAAATAAGAGTTTGGTGCCAGGACTCCTGACGGGAAACTTACTAATTACTTTCACTAACTAGGTTTGTTACCGTCGAGACCGAATGGAAACTTTCACGCTTATTTCAGGGAATTTTTTCCGTATTTTTTCCTAGAGAGCTTCTGGGAGCCTGAGGCGAAATGCTGTCTCTGCGGGGGGGGGGGGGGGGGAGAGTGCGTGTGTGAGTGAGAGCCAGTGTGATGCGAGTGTGAGTGTGTGTGAGTGTGGGGGGCGTCCGCGGAGGCGCCCGCGGGCGTGGAGAGTGCACTGCGCAGCGCCGTGCGGGCGTACCCACTTGGCTTCCGCGACGACCGAGCGGCAGGGAGACGCGCGGGTCGGCCGGGGCAGCGGAACCCGGAGGAGCCGCGCCCCCGCCGCCGGTGCCCGGGGAGGACCGCAGCAGGACCGGCGGCGCGGGGGTCCGGGTTCGTCCCCCAGGCCTTGCCCTAACTCGGCCAGGATGACCAGAGACCTGCTGGTCGTCCTGCTGCTGCTGCTTTATAACGTGCTGATTAATTTAGGAACCGCCCCGCGGCCGCCGTCACCCAGTGAGGAAAGAGGACGATGGTCTGGGCTCCTCCAGGGACTGGTCTGTGTAGGGCGCCGGGCAGGGCGTGAAAACCCACAGGGCCCGTTTCCGTGTTGGCTCCTCACCCGGGGTGGGAGCTGAGAACTGCAAGTGGGCTGCAGACACGACCAAGCCTTTCTCTCCCTAGAACAGCGGGCGCTGGCCCGGGTGCTGCCGGCCCTCGCAGGAGGGGAGGCCGGGTTTACTCAACAGCACAGGAAACGACCACCGAAAAGTCCGGAAGTGATATTGTGTTAACTTACCTATCAGTGGCCGTAACTCCCCATATGTTTCCTGAAAAAAGGAAAATTCACGACAGGTTTTAAAGGAAACTAACCCGGTTCTCGAAGTGCAGGCTGCTGAGAGGGGAAGGAGGCCGAGGTGCCCACTTCCTCTGGTGTGTACCAGTGCATCCTGAAACTGGGCTGCTGGACTCAGAACCCAGTACCAGGCACAATTTTCAAGGGAACAGATCTGCCCGTGGTCTATGACCATGCCAGAGAAGGCGGGTGGGGGCCGCTGCACAGAGCGGGCTCGACGAGGGGCTGAGGGGCCTGAGGGCCACCACCTGTGCTCCCGGTACCCCATGCACCTTGCAGAGCTCATCTGCCCTTTTTAAGGTCAGTCAGTACTCTGATCCTCCTCTCAAATCTGAGGTCCCTGAGAGACACCCAGGAAGATCAGGACAAGTGTTACAGCCAGGATAACAGTGTTCACTTTGCAAACAGCTTGAGGTGGCAATGAAAACATGTGCCACCTGCCCAGTGTGTCCCTGGCTGCTGGTCTCCGTCCCAGCAATGGCCTCCCATGGAGCAGGGGTCTGCACGCACAGCCCTGCCACTTCGAACACCCAGCTGTGATCCATGTGGTGCTGGCTGCGCTGCAGGCCTAGAGTGCTGGGCAGAGCAGGGCTGGCAGAGGAACTTCCTGATGTGTCCACAACCATTTGTGACCCAAGACACCGACCTGGGGAGGCTCCCCGCCCAGCTCTCCCCACTGAGCCGGTCTGCCTTCCAGACCACCGAGGGTAAGCAAGGCGCCGTGGGGGCCGAGAGCACGTGAGAGCCCACCAGATGGTGCCCTTGTTGCTGGGCAAGGCTGAAGCAAACTTGTCAAGACCAAGACTTTTCTGCTGTTCTTCTCGGGCACAAGAGAGAGAAGGGTACTGGCTATCAGCCTTCTCACAGAGGGCTCGGGTCCCTGAATGGCCCGCAGGCCGCCTCCTTCGGCCAGTGTCTCTGAATGGGAGGTCTCCAAGGCCCTGAGGCTGCCCAGAGCTGGCCGGAGCCAACGTGGAAGCATTTGTCCCTCACTGCCCTGCACGGAAGCCTGGGGCCTCTGCTGCCCTTTGTCTTAGGACAGACACCCCGGACCCCGGAATTCTGGCACTCCATCCATGACCTTTCATCTGCTTCATACCCAGCTGCTGCTGGTGGATTCAGAGACCCCACCTCTAGCCTTGGGAGACGCCCTGGACAGGGAGTCAGGAGAGCAGCTCAGAGCAAACTATGACTCTTTGGGGTTGGGGAGGCCACTTGGTCTGGGGACAAGGAGTGGGCTGAGTTGTGCAATGGCATGGACTTTGGGTTCCTGATAGGGCCAAAGTGGAGAGGGTGTGACTGTGGAGGACCCCAGACACCCACCCACCAGGCCTGGGTGTCTTGTTGGTCTCATTAAATGAGTGACATAACAAATAGGCTTGGCTGGTCTGGGTCACCAGAATCCCACCCAAGCCCTGGGAGACCACCCTGAGGCTCCTACGTCAGTGCTCATTCATTCTGGTTCCTGGGCGAGGATGAGGCTTGGCCCCCGGTGTCCCTTTCCGGCACACGGTCAGTTCTCAGAGCCACTGCTCCCCCCGCCAGGTGCAGATGCACCCCCCCCCCCCACAACAGCCTTGCCTATTCTGTGCCTGGAGGTGCTGCTATTGGCCCAGCTCAGGCATGGACCCCAAACACAGGTCCTGTGCCCGTGGACCACTCAGGGTTGGGCCAGGTCAGTCCTGTTTCAGTATTTCTAGCAGAGGGACTCTTGCAATCTAACCTAGATCTTGAAGGATCATGAAGAAGCGGTTGTCTGGAGGGCAGAGGCCTCCTCTGGGACTTCTAAAAGTGCGGCACTGGGTGCTCCTTAAGCTAGATGGTATGATTGTGGCGCTGCCGTCTCCACCAGGACATGCGATTTTACATGTGCTTTTGTACACATGAAATATTTCATAAGAAGAAAGCACTCTTTGGGCAGACTTCACGCCAGGAGGCTGTAAAGGTAAAACGATTAGCATGTAGAGAATAACACCATTCTGCATCGCCTGAAATGCTATGCAGCGTGCTTCAACTGACACAGTCCAGTGCCGGGCACGGGGCACGGGCGCCCTTCCCTGTCTGTGCGTGCCCTCAGGGAGTATCTCTGAACAAATGGGTCACTGTGCTTTCCTGGCATGATAATACAGAATGCTCTCCAGATGGCCTGCAGTTCTGGTGCTTTCATTTTGACTTTTAAAAAATTGCTGTCTTGTTTACCTAAATATACACAGTTTTTGCTATTTCTAATATTCTGCATTGTATGCTGTACGTCCATCCATTTGACCATTAAGAAAGATAATCACGTAGCGAATTACACTGACCTGGCCAGTGATGGTGAGATGAGAGACTGCAGAAGCAGTAAATGTGGAAAGGAAGTGCCTTAGCATGTATGAAGCATGTGTTCTTAAAAACCACACCACATAGCTACATTATTCCTTTAAACGTTCCAGTCGTGTTATTTTTTTCCAGGTTGTACTTTGAAAATTTGTAGAAGGAGGAACTGTATACTCAGCCCTGCCCTCAGTGAATCCCCGTTTTTATGCCTTGGGGTGGTGAAGGCTGCACCCAGAGGCAGGGCCCCCGGACCCTGCAGGAGGCTGGGGAGGCCTCAGGCAGAGAGAATTACATTCTTACCTTGTTTAAGCAATTGTTTGGGCTTTCTGTTAAATGGAGCCGAAAGGAAACCCAGGGGCACACCCCCCTTCTCTCTTTTTCTTGTCTTCCTGGGCTGGCCAGAGCCTCCAGTGTGAGTGTGGATAGAAGTTGCCAGAAGGGGCAAAGGAAGCGCTTTTTTTTTTTTAAGGTAGGCACCTGAGCTAACATCTGTTGCCAGTCTTCTTTTTCTTTTTCTTGTTCTTCTCCTCCCCAAAGTCCCCAGTACATAGTTGTATATTCTAGTTGGAGTGCCTCTGGTTGTGCATGTGGGACACCACCTCAGCATGGCCTGGCGAGTGGTGCCATGTCCGCGCCCAGGATCTGGGCCAGCAAAACCCTGGGCCACCGAAGCAGAGCGCACGAACTTAACCACTCGGCCACGGAGCCAGCCCTAAAGGAAATACTTTGAAAGTTTCCCCGTAAGCATGATGTATGCAGTAGGTGTTTCAAAATACCTTTTCCGGAGACTAAGCTTCCCTTCTGCAGCTGGTTAACACCAAGTGTCATCATCAATGAATGTTGTATTTTACCAAATGCTTTTTCTGCATATATTGAGATGATCAAATGATTTTTCCCTTCCATCTGTTAATGTGGTAAATTATAATAATAGATTTTCTCACATCAAGCCAATTGTGAATTCCTAGCATAAACCCTGTGGTGGTGGTGGGGATGGATCTTTTGACACATAAAAGCAAAAAAAAAAAAGTGTAAAGATAACAAATGATGGATTGACTACACAACTGTTTAAAACTTCGGTACAACAGGGCATAATAATGTTGTCAGCAGCAAATCAGTGGAAACGTGGCATCCGCGGTTTGGTGAAAGAATGAAGGACTGGCAGCAGTCACAGGCGATGTGCTGAGCAGAGAGAGGTGGCGTGGAGTGTCCTGACTCGACAGCGTATCCGCAAAGAGCTACCCAAGGGTGGCCCACAAGTGCATGCCAGCGCAGAGCATGGCTGCCGTGCGCCCGGACCTCTCGGAGAGGGGACGGTTCAGTTTGCTGGTGAAAGCTTGCCTGTTTTCTAATGCCGTCGAAAGCGTCTGGGGACCCATTCCCCACCTTCTTGGCCACCGTGGTCTAGTTGGACCACTTTGCAGGGAGGTCCCATCCCTCCAGGTGCAGGGCCTGCTCCCTCCTACCTGCCCGGGCCTCGGTTTGCTCTCCCACTGCCAGTTCTCACCGTGCCTTGCCTAGGGCAGCTGATGGCCCGGAGAGA